CTGTTATATTTCTCTGAATAATATTGAGTTTTATTCTAGTAGTCAAATTACTGACAGATCATTTTGAACTTACAGGGCCTTTGCTGTATGCTTTTTTGGGGATGATCGGTTTTTGTTATACCTTTAGCCCTAAAATTAATGCCTTAATCCTGGGATACATTACTTCCTCCTAAGGCAGGGACCTTCTAAAATTTCAATGGAAAGCTTAAGGAAATGGAAAGATTGAATCCTTCTAATTTAGCGAGATTCAAACTCTTTCTCCTTGTGATTGATAGTAGCTAAAATACCCTGCTCAACTGTTTCAAGCATTAAATTCTGGCAAGCAGATTGTTCACCACTGAGCCCTTGTCCATTTTTAGCTGTTCCTAAAGTCCAGTGGCAACCCACTCCAGTACTCTTGCTGGAAAATCCCATGGACGGAGAAGCCTGGTGGGCAGTAGTCCATGTGGTCGCGAAGAGTCGGACATGACTGAGCAAGTTCACTTTCACTTTTCACTTTCATGCATTGGAGAAGGAAATAGCAACCCACTCCAGTGTTCTTGCCTGGAGGATCCCAGGGACTGCGGAGCCTGGTGGGCTGCCGTCTAGGGGTCGCACAGAGTCGGACACGACTGAAGCGACTTAGCAGCAAAGTCCCAAAGGGGCTTCCCTGGTGACTCAGCAGTGAAGAGTCTGCCTGTAATTCAGGAGACGCAGGAGATGCGGGTTTGATCCCTGGGTCAGGAAGATCTCTGGAGGAGGAAATGGCAACCCACTCCAGTATTCTTGCCTGGGAAATCCCATGGACAGAGGAGCCTGGCGGGCTACAGTCCATGGGGTTGCAAGAGTCAGACATGACTGAAGCAACTGAGCAAGCATGCACGCATTTACAACATCCCAAAGCTTGTTCTCTGCCTTCTCTGGCAATTAGGACTTAGGATTTTGCTTGGTTTCCATTTAGCCTCCCTTGAAGGACATGAGTCCAAGACCCTCAGGAAGAAAATCCACTCGAACGTGAGTCCGTCTATGGTGGTCTCTGTTCTACAGTCTTCCAGCTTCTGCTTGCTTTTGGTTGCTCCACTGCGCCTTCATGTCTTTTCTCTCCCCTTTTGTGGACAGTTAGAATTGCCTCTATAGGAGGTTTATCTGATTCAGGTTATTCTACGACTAAAACTGAAATTCTCCCCCTAATGCACATATAAGTGGAATGAGAAATCTTTGTTTCCTTTACCACTAACATTTTTTATCCATGGGATTATTCCTGCGGCTATATATTCTGACTAAAATAGGAGCCATTAACTTGCATAGGGGCCATCTCAGAGAACCTTCAGTTGAAAATAGTAGTGTCTGCTACTACCGTTCTACCTCCTTAAGACATAACCTTCAGATTAACGTTTCTAAAACACAGCTCTGGACTTCACATCCTGTAAGCAAGAATCTCATCACCTGCTGAATAAAATGAGTTTCTCAACTTGTCATTCAAAGCCTCTACTGTCTGGCCTATGTTAACATTGTAGTAGAAAATTACTTACTTTCGAAAGCCTGGGTTATGACTTATTCTGCATTAGCAATTTTTATACCAGGAGAGCACAGTATCTTTTAAAAGACATGATCAAAAGTTTTTAAAGTCTTCTAAGTGCATTCTCTTATTTTCATTGTGGTTTTTTGGTTGTTTATTTTATCAGTATAGACTAATGGACGGGACACATATTGCCTATTTGTGTAGGTGTGATTCAAATCTTTCATGTTTACAGATTTAAAAATATAAATGACAGATATAACTACTGTGACATCCCCACAGCTGGCCTTTAAACTCTCCCATCCTGTTTGGATGGGAGATGAATTGGTGATTGTGACCAATTTCAGACCAGTCAGTAGAAACCAGATGCAATAATTCAGTGTATGTGGAAGGACTTTTTTTTGCAGCTCTTACAGTGACATGAATTTTTTAAAGGTGTTCATTAAAAAGAAATCCCCATAGTACAATCCTAACTCTTACAAGTCTGTTTTTGAACACCCAGAAAGAGAAGTTTTCCAGTGTGTATGCGTTGGACAGTGGCCATTTCCTGTGCATTATTATATGCTTACAGCTAAGAGACTTTGCCATATTTTATCATGGATTTTCAGAAATAGAAGGAACCATATACCACCCCAGCCCCTTATGCAAATATTTTATGGCCTTGCACACATAATAGGTTCCCAGTAAGTAATGTTGAATTGAAACCAAAGTTACATTTAGTTATTTCTTTGGACATTGAAGTTTACTCAATTCAATGTATATTAGAGATGAAATTTCTGAATTTGTCTTTAATTTCACACCATGAAAAAAGGCACATATGCTGATTGCCAGTGGATTTACTGGGTGATAAAGTAAAGTATGCCTCATTCAAATAATGTTCCTTTGCTTATTTTTTCCAAAGAGCTTTCAGCATCCTGTTGCACCACCAGTAAGTTATATTTCAAAATAGACATTTAGAAAAGACTCTGCCCTTGGGACACAGCAGCATTGTCTGAATTCTGCTTCCAATTCCACCTTTTGGGGAGGTCACCTGATCAGTTCTAGCATGAATTTCTTCTTGTGAACAATAGTAGTAATAACTGCCTTACCTATGTCCTAGGGTTGTTGTACGACAGATAAAATGGTGCTATAATGGGCCTTAAAATTTTATTTTTTTGGTAACTTCTTAAGATATTGTGCAGCATTGTGAAATGTCATATTAATCGGTTCTAGTCTTTCCTGTGGGTATTGATTGCCTTTGTATAATTATCTACACCTACCTTTAGTGACTAAGTCTTTCATTTTTTTAAGAAGTCATTAGATTATTGTAATGATGGAGTTTCATTTCTTCCCTTTGATAGATTTCCCTATTCTATTACTGTTCTTTTATTGTGATCATCATTACTAAAATATACCATAATGTTACTGAGAATGAGCTCTGGATTATTTTAATACCGTTAGCAATACACATTATATCTATTGAGTACTTCCTGTAATTTACTTAGTAGTTATCAGCCAACGGAATGTGATGGTACTGGGTTGAAGGGGGGTTTTGGAGCCTGTTTCTTGCTTTACAGTCATCAGTGCGACTCCGTTTGCTTAGTCTGCATGTTTTCAGAGCCCCATGACTCAGTCCTCACACCTCTTCCCTTTCCAGTCTCCATATGATCTCATCCAGTCTCATGGCTTAGAATAATGACCACAGGCTGATTACATCTCCAGCCCAGACCTCTGCTGAGCTGCAGCTCTCTGTATCTAACTGTCCCCCTACCCCGCCCATACTTCCACTAACCTACCTCTCAGTGTCTCAAGCTTAGCACGCCCAAGGCCAAGCCAGAGTAATCCCCCCTAAGCCATGGCTCTTAACTGTCTGCCTCATTTTAATTTACAGCAGTTCCATTGTTCTATTTGTTCGGCCCAAGAATCTTAATGCTTCTTTAGATCCCCTTTTTCTCAGATCTCTTAGCAGATTCTAGCAGTTCTACCTTCAGAGTGTATCTTGGACCTGACCACTTCTCATCGCTACTCCCCCATCATCTTCCCCTGAAATACAGGGACAGCCTGCTACCCAGTGCCTCTGATGCTGTCGTCAGTCCATTTCAGTTGGTTCCTTACACAGTGGGCAGAACAATCCTATTACACATGAATCACACCACTCATTTCTCATCTCAGAGCCCTTGAAACAAGTGGTTTCCCGTCTCACTGAGTCAACATCTTGAACATGGTTTATAAGGCCTTACATGGTCTGACTGAGGTTAGCTCTTGTTCCTCATCCCCTTGTAATGTTCACTGATTCTTTCCACCTTTCACACTTGGCTGTTCCTTAAACATGCCAGGTGTCCTCTGCCCCTGTCAACCTTCATTTGCTTTTCCCTCTGCCCTACTGTATTTTCTCCCCAAGATGTCCACACAGTTAGCACCTTCCTTTTCTTCAGACCTTTATATTAAAGTTGTTCTCCAACGGGGTTCTTCCTTCATTCTTTCTAAAATGTCAATACCCTCCTCACCTCCATCATGTTCTATGCCCTTGCCTTCATTTTTCTCCTGAGCACCTATTCCTGTCCAGCAGTTAACCATTGTACCTAATTACTTTGTCTGTTGACTGTCTTTCCTTCATTAAAAGGTCACAAGAGTGGAGACTTTTGTCTGTCTTTTTCATTGCTGTCTCTAACGGAGCTGATCTCTAGTGGAGGTTCAGTAAATATTGTATATTAATTTGGATATGTAAATGAATAATAGAGCTAAGGTACAGTTTAGCATTTTGCCAGTAGATGCCACTGTCCAAGCATATTCCACATCTGAATTATTTTGGTGCCAGTTTGGCTTGCAAAATGAAATTGTTCTACATTTCTAGTTAAATGATTTGAAAGTCTTCCCATTGAAATGACATGTATCAATGGGAGCAGGCAGAGAAGCTCAAAGAGCAGCAGCAGCTGGGAGTTTGGGATGAGCAGATGTAAACTAGTGTACGTAGGAAGGATAAACAACAAGGTCTACTGCATAGCGCAGAGAACTGTATTCAGTATCCGGTGATAAACCATAATGGAAAAGATTGTGAAAAGAATGTATATAGATTTATAGCTGAATCACTTTGCTGTACGCTTAAAACTAACACAACATTGTAAATCAACTATGCTTCAATAAAGTACACTTTTTAAAAAAGCTGAAGCAAGGCCTTTGTTTAGTTTGGTGCTGGGTGATGTCTAGATGAAATGTGCACCGTCTCCTGAAAGAGCACATGCCAATAAATTCAAACAGTGGGGAGTGCAGCTCTATTTCTTTGGGAACCTGTTGGAAGTAAGTGTAGTTTTAAGCTTATCATCTTCAACCTAAAGTCTCAGCTGTATTCAGCTGACCATTCCTGTGCCTATAGTATTCACAGATCATGTTTCTCTTCTACTTTTTTGACAAAGAGATTTTAAGGCAGGAAAGAGCATGTTTCATTATCTGATTATACATATTAGTATTTTATATTAATATAGTAGTCTTTATTTTAACAATTATTCTTTATTATTTTATTCAGGGCAACACAACTATTTGTGTGCGGGAAGAAATGACTGCATAATTGATAAGATTCGGCGGAAGAATTGTCCTGCCTGCAGACTTCAGAAGTGTCTTCAAGCTGGAATGAATTTAGGAGGTAAGGTCTGTGGGTATTAGTTTAATAAGAACTGTTAATATGTAATGTAGCACTGCTAGACTGTGTATTCCCAAAATTGAAGGTGCAGCTAACATGAAGCAAAGATTTTTAAAAATCTAGTAAGTTCTGTATTCATGCTAAAACATTTTAGGACAAAAATATTTCTTAGAAGCTGTTAAAAACAAATATGTTATGTGGCTATGGTCATAGTGAAGTTTTCAACGCTTGTTTGCTAAGGTTTCAAGAACTGGGTGCATAAACAAAACCAAAACAAAAATGAATGACATTTTGTACAAAACTGTAGCTAATAGTTTTTATTACCATGTCTGTTTAGAAATAAGACCTATTTGTGCTGACATTAGCCAGATAGGAATATATTGCTAACTCTAGGAGTAAATGTAGTAAAGGAAGACCTGTATGGAAAAAATTTTTTTTTAGTGTTACAGAAGTTCACCAAAAGAGTGGGGGAGGTAAAGACTTCTAACACAGAAGTATACAATGTCCATGGATGGGAAGATTCAACATCCTGATGGTATCAGTTTTCTCTAAGTTAATTTATGAATATAACATAAGTCTAACAAAAATACCACTTGGTGATTCTAAGTTCTTAAAGAACAGCTAGCAGAATTCTGGAAATGGAGTATATAATGAGGACAACTAGCTCTGCCACATAGTAAAGCATGTGACAGCTACAGTAATTAAGATGGTCTATGTATTTGTTTATTGATTGTCAGATCAGCAGAAAGTCAAGAAATGAATTCAAATAATGTAAGAAGTTTGTTTATAATAAATTTGGCATTTCAAATCAGTTGGGAAAGGATAGATTAGTTGATAGGAATTATTGTGACAACTAGGAAACAAGAAAATTAAATCCGAATTCTTAACAATCCTCCAAGATAAATTCTGCTCTTTCCAAGATTTTAACTTTGAAACATAACACAGAAGGACTAAAGGATTTTTTTTAATATTCTTCAAGTGGAATATTATCTTATAATTTTTAAGTATGAAATAAACCCAGAAGCTATAAGAGAAAATCAAATATCACAAATCAAATATCACCATAAAGACAAATAAAAAAAACTGGGGGAAAATACTTGCGGCTTATAGACAAAGGGTTTATTTCTCACATAGATAAAGCACTTCTGTAATTCCATAAGATAAAGAAACCAACTCATTAAAAAAATGGGAATGAGCAGAATAAGAATATGAATAAAATATTCATAGGTAAAAGAATAATAAAAGAAATGCAGTTGGTTCTTGAAACACATGAAAAGATTTTCAATCTAAACCCAGTAAGAGAAATATTAAATTTAAAATGTGAGATATAATTCTTACAAGTGGCAAAGAGAAAACATTTTTCTAATATATTGTTTGAGTACAGAAATAAAAGTGAAAATAAATGTTAAGCTCGTGCATTTTAGGTGGAAGTAGAAATTTATATAACCCCTATGGAGAGCAGTTTAGCTATTTCAATTAAATGTTAAAAGGCACATACCCTTTGACTCATCAATTCCACTTTTAGGAATTTATCCTAAGTATGTTCTGACAAAGTAAGAAGTGATACATGCATAATATGTCCAGTGTAGCCTTGTTAAATATCAGACATACGCTAACTATCTGTTCAAAGTTGATTAAATAAATTGCAGAATACTCTTCAGACACTAATAAGAATAAAGGGAACTCTATATGGACTGATTATCAAAAATAACTCTTTAGTGAAAAAATCAGGTTGCAAAATAGTATGATTTGTATATTACACGCTATATATCTGCTTTCAAAAAAGAATATATATATTGTGTAGCACATTTCTGGAATGATATACAAGAAGACAGAAATGGTGGCTAGCTTAGTAGAAAGGAGCAGATAGCTGGGAGGCAAGGATAGGAAGGAAAATAATTGTCACTGTCTGTTCTTCTGCGGCTTTGAATTTTGTATTGGAGTAATGTGTCTATTGTGTACTCCAGTTACCTACTTAAAAAAAGTAATCCAAAAAAGAAGCACATTTTTTAGATTCCATAGATATGCATTAGTATATGATATTTGTTTTTCTACTTCTGACTTCTCTCTATATGACAGACTCTGCGTCCATCCACATCACAACAAATGACCCAATTTCATTCCTTTATGTGGCTGAGTAATATCCTATTGTATGTATATACCACGTCTTTTTTATCCATTCATCTGTTGATGGACATTTAGCTTGTTTCCATGTCCTGGCTTTAATAGTGCTGCAGTGAACGTCAGGGTATATATGTCTTTTTGGTACAGATGAACCTATTTGCAGGGCAGGAATAGAGATGCAGACATGAATAACAGATGTGTGGACACAGGGGAAAGGGGTGGGTGGGACAAATTGGGAGATTAGGATTGACATATATACACGATCTCCATATAGTCAAGGCTATGGTCTTCCCAGTGGTCATGTATGGTTCTGAGAGCTGGACCATAAAGAAGGCAGAGCGCCATAGAATTGATGCCTTCAGACTGTGGTGTTGGAGAAGACTCCTGAGAGTCCCTTGGACAGCAGAGAGATCCAACCAGTCAATCTTAAAAGAAATCAACCCTGAATACTCATTGGAAAGATTGATGCTGAAGCTGAAGCTCCAGTATTTTGGTCACCTGATGCAAACAGCTAACTCATTGGAAAAGTCCCAGATGCTGTGAAAGATTGAGGGCAGAAGAAGAAGAGGGCATCAGAGGATGAGATGGCTGGATGGCATCACCGATGCAATGGACATGAACTTGGGCTCACTTTGGGAGATGGTGAGAGGCAGGGCAGCCTGGTGTGCTATAGTCCATGGGGTTGCAAAGAGTCAGACAGAACTGGGCAACTGAACAACAGAAATAGCATATACACTATTGTATGGGAAATAGGTAGCTAGTGGGAACATGCCGTATAGCACAGGAAGCTCAATTCAGTGCTCTGTGATGACACAGATGGGTAGGATGGCGAGGATGGTGGACGGGCGGCTCAGGAGAGAGGGGATATATGGATACATACAGCTGATTCACTCCATTGTACAGCAGATATTAACACAACTTTGTAAAGCAATTATATTCCAATAAGTAAAAAGACAAAGAAAGAGACCTCATTCTTTGCTGTGATGAATGAACCAACTGGCTGACTAGGTAGGCCTGGGGAGGAACACGGCTGCAGGTAGAGCAGAGCAACCCTTGGGAATCAAGAGGAGGATGAGCTGCGGCCAACCAGAACTGCTCCTGTGAGAGCCTCCTGGGTGTCCTGACCTCAGCCAGGGCAGCCCACGCTGGTCCAGAGGGCGGGCTCTGGAGCCACGCTGCCTGGTGAGACCCCTTGATCTGCCGCTTCCTGGCCAGTAACCTGAAAGGCAGGCTGCCACCTTGCTGTGCTCCTGTTTCCTTCAGCTCTCCCTGAGCAGCATACCTACTGCCCAGGCTGTCGTGAGTAGATAAATCAGTGTAGAGTGACCTTCAGTACATGTCGCTGGAGTGAGCACTCACTGCACATCCCGTAGCACTTTCACGCCTGATCTGAGGGACATGCCTGCCCGATGTGTCCGTGATGTCCGGGCAAATTAAGAAACTTGCCCCAAGACGCCACAGCCAGTAAAACAATGAAGCTACATCTTGGATCTCCAGATTCCTGGTCTGGAGTGTCTACTCTCTTGTCAGATATCCCAGTCAAGGGAGATGTGGTGAGAAAGATCACCTTGTGAAGCCCATGAGTGGGAATCTGGCAAGATATCAGTAATTTAAAGTCTAAATGGCGCCAGGGTATAGCTGTGGGTCAGAAAGTGAACTCGAAGTCAGTTTTTGTAAAATCTGCCATCTGAGTTTAAGTGCACACTCTGCTGAAGTATGTGTATCCTTGTGTAATTTTTGTACAACTATATAAATCTTATATATTTACATATTCTATATATGTATGCATATGGGGCTTCCCAGGTGGCGCTAGGGGTAAAGAACCCTCCTGCTAATGCAGGAGACATAAGAGATGCAGGTTCAATCCCTGGGTTGGGAAGATCCCCTAGAGAAAGGCATGGCAACCCTCTCCAGTGTTCTTGTCTGGAGAATCCCATAGACAGAGGAGCCTGGCAGTCTGTGTAGTCCATAGGGTTGCAAAGAGAGTCAGACGCAACTGGAGTGACTTAGCGTGTGCTATACACACACACACACACACACACACTTATATATATATATGTAGACAGTTTAGTATAAATACTGTATAATCACACTTTATAAAGTACCATTACTGGGACTTCCCTGGAGGTCCAGTGGTTAAAACTTTGCCTTCCAGTGCTGGGTGTATAGGTTAGATCCCTGGTGGGGGAGCTAAGATCCTATATGCCTCGGGGCCATAAAACAAAATTATAAAACTGAAGCAGTACTGTAACAAATTCAATAAAGACATTAAAAATGGTCCACATCAAAAAAATCTTTTAAAAAATACCATTAACATGGGTTACTATAAAATGCTATGAAATAGCGATACTTAGAATCCTTATCTTATAGGGCTGTGTAGCCCATGATTAACTGAGTCCATACACTACCTCTAGAATAGTTTCTCAGTCTCTGCTCTGTTGACATTGGGGCAGATAGATCTTTGTTGGCCTTTCCTGATACCTCAGCTAGTAAAGAATCTGCCTGCAATGAAGAAGACGCCATGGTTTGATTCCTTGGTTGGAAAGACCCCCTAGAGAAGGGATAGGCTACCCACTCCAGTATTCTTGGGCTTCCCTGGCAGCTCAGATGGTAAAGAATTCACTTTCAATGCAGGAGACCTGAATTCAATCCCTGGGTTGGGAAGATCCCCTGGAGGAGGGAATGGCAACCTCCTCCAGTATTCTTGCCTGGAGAATCCCCATGGACAGAGGAGCCTAGCAGGCTACAGTCCATGGGGTTGCAAAGAGTTGGACATGACTGAGTGACTTAGCATGACACATCACAGATCTTTGTTGTGGGGCCCATCTGTGTGCTGTAGGATGTTTATCAGTATCCTTCATCACCACCTATCAGATGCC